GACCTACAGGTTAAGTAAGCAATTTGCCTAACCATCATTACCATTCCTGCAAAGAAAAGAAAACTAAAGCACTCAAATACACTTGGGGTTTTTTCTTCCTTAAGACTTATCTTCCTCTAGAAAAATAAAAAAGATCATTATAAAAACCTGAAAATATGAAAAGCAGAAAGAAAAAAGTACTAATGGTCCTAACAGCAGAGCCAAGAATAATCCTTTTTTCCTGCCCTTTTGCTATTTTCAGAAGCTAAACCTGTTTTAGAATTAGGAAAACTTTGAGCATCTTAATGCCCAATAAACAACTAACTCTTTTTCCTTGTCCAAGAATCTGCCAAGAATTGTAGGGTCCCTGTCCCTCACAGGGGATACAGCAAGCAGAATGAAGAATAATGAATTTAACAGCCGTCCCTGCCCTGTCCCATCACTAGATTCACCATTATCAGAGACAAAGAACAAGGGCATAGAGAAGCCTTCAAACGACCATCATTTGCTGTGTACTTACTGATCTACCACTTTCAAGAAGTTCTTGGGTTAATTTGAAAAAGGTAGCATATCCTCCACCACTCTTAAGGAATAAGCATTGTTAAATAATGCTGAAGTAAAAATACCAGAGAACTAGCCTTAGATCCCACATCTCTTTCTGTATTATAGATAGAGCCTTTATCTTCAAAGCTAGAGAGTCTTCATTTGCAAGGTGAGGGATTCACAATTTTTCCAAGGCACTTCACAGCTCTAGAAATTATCTGAATTCCAAAGGCCCCAAAAGAATTTTGCTGGGGGTTAAGACGTGAAGTCAGGACCAACTGGAAATCAAGATCTAAGCTCTGAGGTGTAAAACTCCAGTTTCCAAATTAGCACAGCATCTCATCACCCAGGTTAATGAAAGAAGGCCGTCATTATCCCAGCACAGGAAACCCAGTGGCCTAGTTTTTGGATGACATGAGAAAGCATAGCAAACCTAGAGAAGAGATGATTGAATTTCATCCCTGAGAGGCCATGAACACTAATTTTCAGGAATGCCTGAGGAATCAAGGAGACATAATAATGGCTACCATTTATTTAGTGCTTATGATGTTCTAGGCACTGAGCTCTAAAACTACATCTCAAGAATCAACCAACAACCCAAAAGTTCAACAACAGGAATATGATTAAATAGACCAAATATCACTCATCAACTAAAAATACTTTCAAATAATATCTAATGAAATAAGAACATTCACATTTTTTAATGTTCAGTGAAAGAAACAGGACTTGAAAATATGCAAACCCGGCTGGGCATGGTGGTTCACGCCTATAATCCCAGCACTTTGGGAGGTTGAGGCCGATAGATCATCTGAAGTTGGGAGTTTGAGACCAGCCTGACCAACATGGAGAAAACTGTCTCTACTAAAAATACAAAATTAGCCATGCGTGGTGGCACGTGACTGTAATCCCAGATACTCAGGAGGCTGAGGCAGGAGAATCACTTGAACCTGGGAGGTGGAGGTTGCAGTGAGCCAAGATCGCACCACTACACTCCAGCCTGGGCAACAAGAGCAAAACTTCGTCTAAAAAAAAAAAAAGAAAAAAGAAAATATGCAAACCTTATAATCATAATTATTTTATAAATCAACACACACAATAAAACAGAATGAATACAGCAATAATGTTAAAAGTGGCAGGACTAGCTACATCCTTCATAGAGCAGAGTAAAAAATGAAAATGTGTGGATCTTTGTTCAAAAATTATTAAGAATGTCATGATGGCAGTAGCAGAACATTAAACCAAGGGCAGCGTCCTTCTAGATACTGTGCCCTGAGAAACTGCATAGGCCCTGGAAATGGCCCTGGTGCCAGTTAGATATCTCTGGGTATTGATATTATTACTGATTGTTTTCCATTTGTCTGCATTCTCCAAGTTCTATTAAGTGAATATGTATTATTTTTATTATTAGAAAATACAGTGAACAATTTTAAAAGAATCAATCAACAAAAGTTAACTGATATCTACTGGTAATTATAAAGAGCATGATTTGGACACTAGCCATAGTATTTCACAGACAAATGAAGACTGAATCTGGGGTGCAAGGAAAAGCAGAAATCTGGTCAGACGGGACAAAGTCAGAAGCTACCATGAGAAAATAGGAAGAGGGCAGGGAAGTCCTGTATTGGAGTGAATAATCAGCCTTGAATGCAGGCAAAAAAAAAAAGTCACAGTGGTGGTGGCAGTAATACAGCTTTCCCAAGTGGTAAGGCACTCACCCATGTAACTCACAATGTTCATAGCAAGAGAAGTTTAAAAGTCAATACTGGTGATCTGTTAAGAAACCAAAAGTACCCGGTTGGGGAGAGGACCCTAGGAGTTTCATCAGCCTAGGTAGTGAAGGCAAGTTCCAGAATTAGTCTAAGTTCCTACATATTCAGTATCTCTTTGTATCCTCAGGACAGTATGAGGGCGGATCCACATGTATTTCACAAATTTATTTTAGCTAATATTTATTGCCTATTTCTGCTCAATGACAATGTAAGCTCTACAAGGAGTGGTATTTATTTATTTATTTTTTTGAGACAGAATCTTGCTCTGTTGCCCAGGCTGGAGTGCAGCAGCATAATCTCGGCTCACTACAACCTCTGCTTCCGGAGTTCAAGTGATTCTCCTGCCTCAGCCTCCCAAATAGCTGGGAATATGGGCGTGCACCACCATAGCTGGCTAATTTTTCTATTTTTAATAAAGACAGGGTTTCACTATGTTGGCCAGGCTGGTATTGAACTCCTGACCTCGTATCTGCCCACCTCAGTCTCCCAAAGTTCTGGGATTATAGGCATGAGCCACCATGCCCAGCCAGGAGTACTATTTTTAACTATTTTGTTCACTATTGCACCCTCAATCCCTGGGAACATGCCTAGTACATAATAGGCACTCAATATTTGTTAAATGAATGATATACAAGTAATTGCAAGTTTGGTACAATTCTTTTTTATTTAGTTATTTTGAGACAGGGTCTCACTATGTTGCCAAGGCTGGTCTCAAATTCCTGGGCTCAAGCAATCCTCTCAGAGCCCAAAGGTTTGGATTCTTATCTTCTTAAATGTGAAATACAGAAAAGGGTTAGTTAATAGATGGGACAGTCCAAGTCACAAGAGTAGAAGAATGTCCTTGTTTTTGAACTCCAATGGGAACAGTAGAGTCTTCTTCTTAATTATTCTCTATCTTACTTATTCAATGTTCATCCCAGAGGCGTGAACAGGGTCAGATGTGAGCAACACACCTATCCACATCTCATTAAGATAAATCAATTCTTGGGAATTCCCCAGAAGACAGATGGTTTTTCCTCTTAGCTTCAAGAGGTGACCCTAGACATCACACAGTTTCAGGATCATTTCGAAATTTTATCAAAAATTTCCAACATCACATCTTCTGTGAACAGGTGGAAGACAAAAAATGAAAACAATTAATGAGAGGCCATAACTGGAAAAGGGTAAAATACGGGCTTGGGAATGAAAACAGCCTGTCTCCTTCTCTATCCCACAGCCCTGCTCAGGCTACACATGTGTACAGTGGAGTGGATGACACACTGCCACAAATTCCAAGCACTTGAAGAAGGTAAGTTTAGCCACAAAATACTTTCCCCCACTTCTTTTAGGGCACCCCTTTCACCAGTATAATAGACTGGAAATGTCTCCAATGCTCTGTCATCAGCTGCAGGTACTTTTCTGAATCTACCCTGCAGGCCTTTTCTGAATCAACAGAGAAATGTATGTACATTTCACCCCCTTTCCATTTTCCTTCCCTAAGGCATGATTAAAGAATTTAATAATCCTCCAGTTCCGGCGCCGTAGAGATCTGGGGTGGTGAACGAGTCTCCAGCACCATGTCTGGTTTGTCTGACCCACCAGCCCAGAGTGGCCCCTGTCCGTTGGCGTTGCTGCTTTTATTCCTGCTCAGCCCCACCTTGGTCCTTGCCATCTCCTTACATCTTCCCATTAACTCTTGCAAGTGCCTCCATGAGGAGATCCGCAAGGACCTGCTAGTGACAGGTGTGTACGAGATCTCCGACCAGTCTGGGGGTGCTGGTAGCCTGTGCAGCCACCTCAAGATCGCAGAATCTGCTGGCCATATTTTCTACTCCAAAGAGGATGCAACCAAGGGGAAATCTGCCTTTACCACTGAAGGTTATGACACATTTGAAGTATGTTTTGAGAGCAAGGGAACAGGACAGATACCTGACCAACTCATGATCCTAGACATGAAGCATGCAGTGGAGGCGAAACATTAGGAAGCGATTGCGAAAGTTCAGAAACTCAAACAATTAGAGGTAGAGCTGTGATGCCTAGAAGACCTTTCAGAATCTATTGTTAATGATTTGCCTACATGAAGAAGGGAGAAGAAGAAATGTGTGATATCAATGAGTCAACAAACACTGGGGTCCTATACTTCAACATCTTTTCAATGTTCTGCCTCATTTGACTAGCCACCTGGCAGGTCTGCTACCAGCGATGCTTCTTCAAGTCCAAGAAGTTGATTGAGTAGTGAATGAATGAGGCATATTCTTCTCCCACCTTGTACCTCAGCCAGCAGAACATCGCTGGGACGTGTCTGGCCTAAGGCACCCTACCGACAGCACCATCAAGACACGTTGGAGCTTTCCTGCCAGAAATGATCTCTCTTGGTGTAGGAGGACAGGGGATACCACCTACACCCAACGAGTCAATGAGGGACTTCTTTTTTTTTTTTTTTTTTTGAGGCGGAGTTTCACTCTCCTTACCCAGGCTGGAGTGCAATGGCACGATCTCAGGTCACCGCAACCTCCGCCTCCTGGGTTCAGGCAATTCTCCTGCCTCAGCCTCCTGAGTAGCTGGGATTATAGGCACGCGCCACCACGCCCAGCTAATTTTTTGTATTTTTAGTAGAGACGGGATTTCACCATGTTGACCAGGATGGTCTCGATCTCTTGACCTCGTGATCCACCCGTCTCGGCCTCCCAAAGTGCTGGGATTACAGGCTTGAGCCACCGCGCCCGGCCAAGGGACTTCTTTTTAAGGTAGGATTTGGACTGGTTTTGCAACAATAGGTCTATTATTAGAGTTACCTATGACAAAAAAATAGGGGTTACCTAGATAAAGCCAAAGTTAGCATTTGTCCAGGGTTCCCTTGTGTGATCTGTTTGAACAATGTTTTCTTTTCTTCTCCCACTTGCTCAGCAGCTTGGGCTTCCATTCTAGTTCTTGTACCAAGATTTTTGTGTGACCGTGTTGACTTCATTTGGATTGTCCTCTTTCAGTTTCCTTGTGAAAACACACTTAACTTTCTCTTTACCTTTAGCTGAAATGTTTACATAGCTTCTGGTGATATCTTTTCATGATTTTATGTCTCTTAAAATGGTGATGGATGTGACACCTCATAAAAGTGAGCTTTGAACTGTAGATAACTCTTAAGAAAATGCCATTTTAGACAATTAAAATATCTGTGCTCAACTGCTTGAAAAAAAAGAATTTAATAATCCTCAATCAAAAAATAGCAGCTTGGAAGATTTGTTTTTAGGCCCTGTAGATAAATTGAATATGTTCTGCATTGACCCAAAATTCAGGATCTGCCAATAGAACTGAGCTGAGTCTCACTTACCAAAGGTCAGGGGAAAAAGAAGAATGAAATTTTATTTGACCATGATTTACAATTATGAATTCTATACTTCAAGTGGAGACACTCAAAAAGGCCTGTTTATCCATCTACTCACCATCCTGGGCTAAAACTGGGCAAGAAAGATGACATTTAAGAGAATGCCTTGACTTAGGGACCAAATTGAGGTGTGCACACATAAGAAAGAGCATGCGCTGGCTATGAAGTTACAAGATCTGGCTGCATCACAGAGATCCTGGACAATGTGGAATACATACAAGAAAGATGAAACGCACCTGATTCCATCTAGCAGCCAGCCCAGGGATTTCTTTAAAAAGATAAAATACAATTTTATCTAAAATAGAACATGTAGGACAAACTACCTGCTAGCAAGGATTTGAAAAGCAGAATCTAAATATGAGAAAATATTCATGTTTTCTCACTGCAGGTGGGTGAAAACCTAGACAAATAATTTATGTCAAGCAAAATTTTAAGTTGGTAGAGACAGCTTCCATTACACCAACAGAGTTTATTCTATGCCCTTTGCTAACTATATCATAGTAATTGTGCTTGTGAGCCTTCCAGTAGTTAGATGACCCTAGGCAAGTTACGTAACTTGTCTGTGCCTTGGATTCTTCATCCATAAAATGGAGGTAATAAAACCTAATTTATAGAGATGGTGTAAGAATTAGCGATAATGTGTATAAGGTACATAGAACATCACAGATATGATAGTGGTAATGGTTATGTAATAGAAATGACCAGGAAGATAATCTGTACTCACATTTCTGCCATTAACCATTGCCAGTTTCTGGAGTATATGGAAGAAGATGAAACATAATAAGGGGACTCACATCACCACCATCCTATAATGACGAAACACTATTATGAAAATGGTGTAACCAAAAGTTACAAAAGGACTTCCAGAAGTCCTTTACCCTCTACACTGTCTTTGATGTGTAGTTGACATAAAATTATGGTGAGCAAAGAGTTAGAAAACAGTGAAGGTGGACACACTGGCTCACACACATAGTCACTGCAGCAAATTTAAAAGGCATACTGGAAAAACTGATCATGATTCAGTATGGCTTTTCTGAAGATGTGAAAGAAATGTCAGGACTGGGGGGAAATAATTCGTTCTCTAGTAATAAGGCAACTGAATGATCTGCAGACATACTCTATGACTACTTCTGCCACTGAACAGGTACCTCCCATGAAACCTTCCCTGATGCCTTCCTACTTCCCTAAAAATCCCACTGTACTTCCTAGCCTGTGACTCTCAAGAGCATCCATTACACAATACCTATATTTTTGTGTGGATCCATTTGGTGGCCCGTCAGTTCCTTTATAGTATTTGATTTTATATATCTTCATACTGAATGACAAACCAAAGAAAAATCCTTGGCACTGTATAAGTGTGCTCAGCAAATGTGTTAATTTAATGAAGGGTGCAAAAGCTATGTTGTACTGGTCCCTGATCATAATAACATCATATTCAATTCTCCGACCAGGTATTAAAAGTATTTCTCCCTTCTGCCTCTCTTTGTGATTCCTACCTTGCCTAGCACAGGGCCCACTGACAGCAGAAATTCAGATAAACAGGTTAAAATGGAACCCATCTGAATCTAAGGGAAGGACAAGGTTGATGTCATCATATTATTTCATTACTAATGAAACCTAGCTCTTCAGCTTACTGATAAGAGGCTTAAAGGTTACTGGTTACAAGCAATTCAAAGAGGGTAGGAAATGTGTCCCCCTCTTTGTACATCAGAAGTGGGACCTGAGTGTCTTCCCCCATGAAAAATTTTAAAAATAGCATTACAACTGGCTAATAATGAGAGAGCCTGCATTATTAGTATGAACTAATAAAATTCTATCTTAAAAGCCACATTAAGCCGGGCGCGGTGGCTCAAGCCTGTAATCCCAGCACTTTGGGAGGCTGAGGCGGGTGGATCACGAGGTCGAGATATCCAGACCATCCTGGTCAACATGGTGAAACCCCGTCTCTACTAAAAATACAAAAAACTAGCTGGGCGTGGTGGCGCGTGCCTGTAATCCCAGCTACTTAGGAGGCTGAGGCAGGAGAATTGCCTGAGCCCAGGAGGCGGAGGTTGCGGTGAGCCGAGATCGCGCCATTGCCCTCCAGCCTGGGTAACAAGAGCGAAACTCCGTCTCAAAAAAAAAAAAAAAAAAAAAAGCCACATTAAGAACTGGGAATGGTGGCTCACGCCTGTAGTCCCAGCACTTTGGGAGGCTGAAGCAGGCAGATCACCTGAAGTCAGGAGTTCAAGATCACCCTGGCTAACATGGTAAAACCCCGTTTCTACTAAAAATAAAAAAAAATTAGCCAGGTGTGATGGTGGGCGCCTGTAATCCCAATTACTCAGGAGGCTGAGGCAGGAGAATTACATGAACCCAGAAGGCGGAGGTTGCACTGAGCCAAGATCGCACCACTGTACTCCAGCCTGGGCAACAGATGGAGACTCTGTCTTAAGGGGGGGGGGGGGGGGGGGGGAAGAGGGCAACGGAACAAAGGAAAAAATAAAAAACTTAAAAACAAAGCCAAACTCTGTGTCCAGCTGGGTGTGGTGGCTCATGTCTGTAATCCCAGTACTTTGGGAGGCCAAGGCGGGCAGATCACTTGAGCTCAATAGTTTGAGATCAGCCTGAATAACATAGCAGCAAGATCCAATCTCTACAAAACTTTAAAAATCAGCCTGGTGTGATGTTGCACGTTGGTGGTTCCAGCTACTTTGGAGGCTGAGGTGGGAGGATCGTTTAAGCCCTAGAAGGAGAGGGTGTGTGTGTGTGTGTGTGTGTGTGTGTGTGTGTGTGTGTCTGTGTCTGTGTCTGTGTGTTTCCGATTAGACTTTTTTCCTTTGAGGAAAGAAGCCAAGTCTGCTTCCTTTCAGCATCCCGGTCCCTAGCAAAATGGCTCGTATATACTGGGTGCCTAATAGATGCTCATGTGAAATAACATTATAAATTACAGGAAAGGGAGAGTGAGCTTGGCAAAGAAAAAAGAAAACTTAAAACTCTAAATTAGGTAAGTGAAAACCAACTCCCAACAGAAGTGGAGTTAACGTAGGATTATGAATGTTCCTCTTTCACTTTAATGCTTTAATCTTTAGTCCAAATCCCCACTTGAAGAATAAGGTATCTATGTTTTTGCATCTGCCACCAGACAGAGTGGGCCTCTCTCTCTCTCTCTGGGGCTCAGTCCTTTACCCCAACAAAGTACTATAGACCTGAGCCCCTACCTCATCTAAACACTGGTAACAAGATATCATCAGATTTCTGGCAGGTTCCATTATAATTTAATAAGGAATAGAGCAGCCTCTCCTATTTGCAGAGCCAATGGGAAATCTACAGCTACATCTCTCTCTTTTGTTGCTGGCTGAAAAGCTGTCATCAGAGTCAGTTCCTGCAGACTCAAAAGACAAAATTCACTTCACCTTAAAAAAACTCTCTGAAGTAGATATTATGTTTCCTGTTTGCAAATGAGAAAACTGGGGATGAGGAGAGTGTCTTGACACAGATGATATAGCTGGTAAGAAGCAGATTTGCATTCTACTATAAGGACACATGCACACGAATGTTCATTGCAGCACTGTTTACAATAGCAAAGACCTGGAACCAACCCAAATGCCCAACGATGATAAACTGGATAGGGAAAAGGTGGGACATATACACCATGGAATATTATGCAGCCATCAAAAACGATGAGTTCACGTTCTTTGTAGGGACATGGATGAACCTGGAAACCATCATTCTCAGCAAACTGACACAAGAGCAGAAAATCAAACACCGCATGTTCTCACTCATAGGCGGGTGTTGAACAATGAGAACACATGGACACAGGGAGGGGAGCACTACACACTGGGGTCCGTTGGGGGGAAATGGGGGAGGGACAGGGGGGTGGGGAGGTGGGAAGAGATAGCATGGGGAGAAATGACAGATACAGGTGAGGGGACAGAAGGCAGAAAACCACACTGCCATGTGTGTACCTATGCAACAATCTTGCATGTTCTTCACATGTACCCCAAAACCTAAAATGCAATAAGAAAAAAAAGAAGCAGATTTGGTACCAGGGCACAGGTCACCACAATTTACCCATTCACTTTTCTCAGGAATCCATAGAGTGTTAGCTTTCAAGAACTAAAGAACTGGTGACTAACTATCCCAGTTTTCTCAGGACTTGAGGGTGTTTCCAGATGTGGGATTTCCAGTGCTAAAGCCAGGACAGTGGTGGATGGTGACCATAACAGGGACTATGTCAGTTTTGTTCCCCATTGTAACCCCATGGCCCATTGTAGGTACTCGGTAAATACTTGCTGAATGAATGAATGATTTTTATGGTTCCAGGACACCTTTCAGTGCTACAAATCCTTTATGAAAGGCCCTTTGAGGTGTCTTCTTAGCCTCTCCCTGCCTCATCAAACAGCAAGAGAGGATCATAGAGTTCCCATGCTTGAGAATTTCAACGTGCAAAAGGAAGACTAGAGATATATCCTAATGAGTAACTGAAATTGAGCTCTGCTTGTCTTTGTGGATTTAGAGGAGGAAAATAAATGAACAGTAAAGTTGATTCTTATTTTCAAATAAATTTAACATTTGGAAATGTGTGCCTGTTGCCTACTTTCAATAGCATGTTTCCTTCTTAAGCTAGACTCCAAGCCAGCTTCCTGTTCAAGTATTCTGTCACACCTTATTGTCTAGTCTGTTCAGCTATTTTAAAAAATGTTGAATATCAACAATGGCTTTCAGGCCGGAATTGTCATCTTTTATATGAAGCAATTTTGGTTGAATGAGAAGATCCCAGAGCTTATAGTCCTGTCTACTATGCTGTCCCAGGCTGGGCTTCAATGTGTGTGGCTGATAACAGGGCACATTTCTACCTTCCTTATCACATCCCTGCTCCATAATTCATTGGCCAATCTCTTTTTAGGAAAGATCTTTATGGCAAGTGGGCAGTACAGCAGGTAAGTGCTCCTAGGGAAAAAGAAAGTCCAGCTGCCTTATGGGGCTATGGAGCTGGGTGTGGCCGCCCCCAGGGCTAGCTCCTCTGAGTCTTGGCAGATCCACAGGTCTCCATAGCCTTGAGGTGGCCTGCTCTCTCTTTTTCAACAATTTGCAGTGACGACTAATCAAAGTATCTGCTTTGTATTAAGGGTTATCACACTGTGAAGAGAGTTATGCTTTGGTTTGTTTTTACTTTTGCCCAGCTAAAATGAAAAACAAATATGCTGATTTGGAATTGACTATTTCCCAATGCTGATTTGTGCTTCTTTCAAGGTAACTCTAGGAGCTGCTGGGCTCTCAAGCACAGAAAGGGCCTTTTTTTCTCTGCCCTCAGGTAAACAGGGTCCTAGCAGGGACCAGGCCACTGGCTACAGATAACTTTTATTTAAATTTCTGTTACTTCAAACAAAAAAATGTATTGAGTGTGTGGAACTGCTTTGTATTCCATATCAAGATAAGTCACATGAGATTGCATATCTTAGCATAAAAAAAGCCCAAAGGATAATTCCTGGGAAAAACTTTATATTGCTTTGGGATCTGTCATGGTTAATTCAGCTTCTGTGACCTGCCTACCTCCTGGGTGCCTGGCTTAACTTAGTTACTCTAGGCAAATAAGTATGCCAACACTTAAAAAGAGAAACAGAGAGAAAAAAGAAACAAGGTCCCCTAGTCAGTCACCAGTCATAAAAGTTGAGTAGAAGAATGGAGATGAGTGAGGGAGGGAATAAAAGAGAGAATTCCTCTTTCTAGAAACTTAGAAAATAAAGCAACATTCTGAAATCTAAGTGAATAATTGATAGGAAGGGAGAAAGAGCAAGATATTCTACAGTATGTTCAGTTTGCCAGGGAGCCATCAAACTCCAGAGTTCATTTATCTATCCGAAGTGGTCCCTTTGTCCCAAACCCAGAGACCTTAGTAGGGTCTCTGTATACATGCGATTCACAGCAGACACAGTGCGAAAGTCATCAAAGTGCTCTGCAACCAAATCCGCTGTCCAAGCTAACAACATGTAGCCAAGCTAACACCACGTAGGATTTTAGTTGACATGCAAGGATAACAGATCTCCGACCAACACATGAAATACATGAGTCATCTAAAGCTACTTCACACTTTTAGAAGGTGATTTCTAAAATAAACGATCAAAAATTTGCTTATTCTCCTTAGGATTTAATATAGCTTACTTAAGGGCAGACATATAAACAGATAACTATCTCTGCCACACTGCTGCATCTAATTATTTTATTCCTTAAAAAAATTGTTTTTGTTTTCTGAAAATCAATCCATAACTACCATTTCTGTGGTCATCGGCCAAACTGTGACCACGATTGATTTATGACAACATTTATACTGAGCTGTAAGTAAAACCCAAGGATTTAAATAAAGGTTCTAAATTTGAGTGCTGTCATTTGAACAAAACAATGAAAACAATATATTCTCTCTGGGTCCTGCAACCTCTTTCTCCTCCATGGGAGAATGCAAAATAAAATTTTTTTAAAAATGGCCAATACAGCCATCCACTGAAATCAAATGGAATTGCTTTTGGGAAAGAAAAAAAAAAAAAAAAAAACCACCACTAAAAACATTTTCTTTTTTCCCTTTCTTTTTCTTTCTTTCTTTCCTTCCTTTCTTTCTCTTTCTTTCCCTTTCTTTCTTTCCTCACTCTGTCAAATCACCACTTAAAATATTTTCTTTTTTCCCTTTCTCGCCCTCCCTCCCTCCCTCCCTTCTTTTATTCCTTCCTTTCTTTCTTTCTTCTTTCTTTCTTTCCTTCCTTCTTTCTTTGTTAACTTACTCTGTCACCCAGGCTGGAGTAATGCAGTGGTGTGGTCTTGGCTCACTGTAACCTCTACGTCCTGGCTGGGTTCAAGTGATTCTCCCACTTCAGCCTCCCAAGTAGCTAGGACTACAGGCACCCACCACCATATTGGCTAATTTTTTTTTTTTTTTTTTTTTTTTTTTTTTTTTTTTTTTTAGTAAAGATGGAGTTTCACCATGTCGGCCAGGCTGGTCTTGAATTCCTGACCTCAGGTGATCCACCCACCTCAGCCTCCCAAAGTGCTGGGATTACAGGCATGAGCCACCACATCTGGCAATTACTTAAAATATTTTCTAAACTGTGACTTGCAGTTCACAGATCCTATGCACCTAATGATCGGGCTGAGAAACTAAGATCACTGCCCTGCTCGAATTCTTCAGGCTCCTCTCCCTGTATAAGTGGCCTCACTGAGGGACAAATGAAGGAGCTAATGGAGAAAGTTATCAGAGGGGAAATTAACAGCTAGAGATAGACAGATGAGCAAATAAATAGATGGATGGCAGCCTGGCTAGCTTTTAAATTTCTTTATTCCTAAATTTAGGTTTACCATTCTCCTGAGGTTTTGTGGAGTTTGGAGGTTTGAGAGCAGGAGGCCGTCGGACTTTGTGTTTATATGTACTACTATCAATACTTAAAAAGCTAAATATTATATGTTAAAGGTGACTTCTTTTTTACCCCGAAAATGAAGTTATTTTTAAAATGTATGTATCCCAGCACTTTGGGAGGCCAAGGCGGGCGGATCATGAGGTCAAGAGATCAAGACCATGGTGAAACCCCATCTCTACTAAAAAATACAAAAATTAGCTGAGCATGGTGGCGTGCACCTGTGGCCCCAGCTACTTGGGAGGCTGAGGCAGGAGAATCACTTTAACCCAGGAGGCGGAGGTTGCAGTGAGGCGAGATCGCGCCACTGCACTCCAGCCTGCTGCCTGGCAACAGAGCAAGACTCTGTCTCAAAAAAAAAAAAAAAAAAAAAAAAAAAAAAAAAAAAAAGTATGTATGCAAGATTACCTGGGAGTTAGTAGAATTGCTTTGAGGAGAAAAAACTATAAAGTTAACGCTGATCAAGATATATGTTGAAAAATAGAAAAATGAAGGTTACTACTCTTCTGTTTCATTAGTAAAATACAGTTATAGGTGTAGTAGACTTAAAAGAATGTAGGCAGGCCAGGTGTGGTGGCTCACACCTGTATTCCCAGCACTTTGGGAGGCCAAGGCGAGTGGATCACCTGAGGTCAGGAGTTCAAGACCAGCCTGACCAACATGGTAAAACCTCATCTCTACTAAAAAATACAAAAATTAGCTGAGCATAATGGCGGGCGCCTATAATCTCAGCTACTCAAGAGCCCGAGGCAGCAGAATCACTTGAACCTGGTAGGCGGAGGTTGCGGTGAGCTGAGATCATGCCATTGCACTCCAGCCTGGAAAACAGTAAAGAAACTCTGTCTCAAAAAAAACCACATACACACACACACACACACACACACACACACACACACATAAATATAGGCATTCACATTATTTTTCTAGTACATCAATGCTGTTTAAAGTGCTTTATACGAGGCAACAGATTTGAATGAAAGAACGAAAGTGAGGAGGATCTGGGTCTTTCTCTGCCACCAAATGTGCTGTGTGACCTTGGAAAAATTGCTTCTCTTTTTTGAACTTGTTTAAGGAATGCAGGGCAGAATAAATTGAGAGACATTTGGAGTAGGCAGTTAGAGAGCCACAGGATAAAAAACAGTTGTGGCAAAAAGTGCCAGCCACTCAGCTTAAAATGACGTGACTTCTAGAGTACAAGAAGGATGCAACGGCATGACATACCACACATCCTATGCCAAACCAGGGAGATGAATGGTAGGACATTAGTTCATTCTTTTTGGAGTAAGAATTGCTATGCTCCAAACTAAACCAGAACTCACGTCAATGGTACTGTTGATTTGTACTGCTACTTTTTACTA